GCCGGTCCTACCGGAAGCCTCGCGCCTTCGAACCGACCGAAAAGGCTTCTTCCAAATCCACGTTTTCGGCATAACAACCGTCGGGAGTGCTTCTTTCACCGAAAATGACTGGCAGCCCCAGATCGTCTGGCTAAATCGGCATATTCGACAAGCGAATAGGCAAAAGGTGTCGAGAAGTGTCACAGTAGACTTCGGACTAGGTGCGTTCCATGCAGTCGCCATGACGACAAGACCAAGTTGCGACAACCAGGTCAACCCATGCCGGAGGCCACAACATTTTCGTCTTCATATCTTCAAAAGTGAATGAGAATGTCAAGTGGCAAAAGTGGGTTAAAGTGGCGCGCGGAATAGGCAATCGGGAGAGGAGTATGAGAAGCGAAAGTGGCAAACTGGAGCGATAACGGCGAGTGGAGAGGGCCGGTGGGCGAACAGAGTGTGAAATGCAAAAGACAAGCTGACTAGCAGCGAGTAGGGAAAGCGACATTGTTGAAATGTGAGTGTGGCCAGCTGGAGTGGAGAGGCCGAGTGGGAGAGACGAGTGGAAGGTGACGGCGACTGTTTGCAAAGAGGGCGTGAGTGAGTGAGTGAGGCTGTGGATTGGGAAAAGTCCGGAGGCTAAACCAAAATGCGCTACATCGATCGGCTGCAAGAGTCCATCTGTGGCCTGTGTGCAGCCATTTGCATGCAAAAGTAAGCCGAATCGGCGACAATCCTGCAGCTGACAGGATTGGTGCATGTGCGATGGGAGGAATGGCATCGATTTTGCTCTCAGCCAATCGGCAGCATTGTTCCCGTCCGAGCTGGAACGCCTCGCATTCACACGAGCCCATTTCAGTCGAGTTCAGCAGCCGTCATGTCGTCGGACCGGAAACCGGAGGCGAACTGCCGACTCGTCAAGTCGGCCAACAACTCGTCGGCTGAGCGTTCGTCTGTACCGCCGTGACAGACGTGATCAGCGCAAGAAGACACACTTTGCTAAATGCAGCAAAATAAAATACACTTTTCGCCCGTTTAATACCCTCCGAGGCGGCGGTGTGTGTTTGGTGGACCATCCTCAAATGTCAATTCATGTCGGGACTTGTGCTATTGTGTGTATGCAATGTCCATGTCATGGAAAGCGCGAAATCCCGCTTGGTTGAGACCATTTCTGCGCCATCTCATGCGGCACAGAAGCCTGCCCTGATGTCGATTGTCCCGCCGGTACAGACGAAAGGTTAGCACAGTCGAGGACTTCC